AAGAGGACTGAGAGAAGATATGATAGCCATCTTCAAAAATCTGAAGGGCCGTCACACGGAAGATGGAGCAAGCTTGTTTTGTCTTGCTCTGGGTAGGACTCAAACCAATGGCTTCAGCCCCTTCTTGCCTTGCGGTCCCTCTGCTCCTACCCAGATAATAGCTAGAGTTTCTAGCACTTGGGCCTTAAAAACCTTAGATTCGATACCTCCATCTAACAACAAGGGAAATCTCAGAAAATTTAAACAGTGAAGAACACACGCTGCTAATTTTCAAAGCTTGGCCTCTGGTGCTGTGAACAGCCAGCTTGCAGCCAAACCCACTGAAAAATTCCTAGGGTTCACCCTTACTTTTTACTCCCATTTCCTCCCCGCCACTTACGTTCTGGTAATTGAACTGGGATACTTGTGCAGAACCTTCTCTCACATCAGTCAGAGAAAGACAGATCCAATACATATACTCAAAGCAACTTTCAACATTTGGTGGTTCTCACGAGCCAAGTAGTTAAATAAGCCACTTTTTGCGTGTGTGCTTTCGTCAGCAAAGCAGTGGAAGAATGGTTTCCTATCCGTAACCCTTTCATTAAATTTTGTTTGTTTGTTTGTAGTGAAGTGGTTAGTGTCAAGGCTCTGGCTAATTGGAGACAAGGACAGGCTGAATCACCTCTGACTATGTATTGTCCGTGCAAATGTACTTGCAAGGACTAGATGTGATCCTAAATGAGAACCAAGCTCTGGGAAACATTTCAGGAGAATATACTGAGCACAAATCAAGCTCTGAGGCAATGCAGGAATGGCAATAGGGAAAGGGGGCACAGTGCCTATTGGAAGTGGAATGGTAGCGGAGGAAATCTGGGGGTGGAGGGGGTTGAGGCTGGCATTGCAGGACTGTGTTCTGCAACGACCACAAGGAGATACGCACAGCACGGGGTAATTTTAAACAGTGGACTTATGGCCTTGTGAGCTGTCTTATTTGGGGAGCATTACTTCAAAATAATGCTGCATTGGGTGGCCCTCCTGCAAGTTCGGCTCCCTTCTTCTCAAAATCTTGCCCTGACGGCACTACTCTGCACTGTCACTTCAAAGGTGTTTTGATTTGAGTCAAAGGGTACAGAGGGTAATTCAAGATCACCACTTGTTGCACCCGACTCCCTGCACACCTCAACTCATTTCTAAGCACGTCCCTTTCTGCTTCTCATCTATTTTATTGCTATTTTATTGACACCCAGCTTTTGTTTGTGGAGATGTTCAGATCTCAGCTGTTATCATTATAAAAGGGATAGTTCCTTAGCTATTTGCTGCAGAATGTCCTAGGCACTGTGGTCAATGGTGACCACAGACAGTAACAGCTGCCAAACAACAGCCGAACAGCTGTAGTTCCGTAATCGGCTTGGAATCAGAGCTGGTGGTGCCGGTGCTAATTCAATAGGCTTACCCAGGCCCATAATTGCTCATGGGAGCAGTCTACCTGTATGAGAGGTAAGAGGTGAGGGAGGGGGCTCATGGATGACAGCTTCTCCTTTTCCATGATTAAAAAATAATAATCTGTCTTTCTCCTCATTTTGTTTTGCCATAAAGGAGAAGAGACCTGCTGCCAGCCCCCTTCTCTTGATGCAGGCCACTTGCAGTTATTTGCGCTTACAACCCAGCTGCAAGAAGATCTGCACCACCCTGGAGAAAATGTTGCAAGTTAGCCATACTACAGTTCTACAGCCATTGGCTTTCACTGAATCAGTCCCTGAGGGTCTGGCCAAGTCTGGGGTTCCTGAGCAGCTGAAACAATCACCCACCTTCCTAACCCTGCCGCCCAAGGTGTTGTTAGGGGACGGCTCAGGGGACCTGAGCTCCAAGTCTCTGGGCTGGGCCTCAGATCTCCTGGCCCTTCACTCACCTAGGTGTGTTTGTGTGCTGGCTAGGTACCCTGCCTCCTGCCATCTTAAGGTGCTTCCAGACTGTTGTTCTTTCGCCATGGGATTCAATCACATGGCAGCAAATTCAAACTGAACAGTCAAGGTGGATTTAGTCCTCTTTTGCAAAGCTAAGCTTCTTGCAATAAGCGGGGAAACGCACTGAAAACTATAGGGCAATGATTGCTTGATGGGGTGTTAACCAACGCTCAATAGCTGACTTTGTCTAACCTCCCTACAAGCTTTGAGCAAACCTATCAGGATGGAAGCTCAATAAGTGGGTTTCCTGAAAGCAACCCTAATTTGCCCAGAGACATTCTATACATTTATGCATTTTTGTCATGGGCCCGTACAATGCACCTGATTCTTCCTCTGGTCCATGGCTTGTCAGGGAAGAGCACAGGGGGAGAAGGGATTTCTGACGCTGATTATCCTATATGTCATCAGAATTACTCACAGCTTTTTGAACCATACTGTTCAATCCCATTCAGCTAGCTGAGAGAACCTGTCCCTATCCACAACTCAGCTTCATTCCTAAACTCCTAGGGAAAATCATATCGGACCCAAGGTCCTATAACAGTCCACCAGGATGTAAAAAATAAAGGACTTTCGGGAATTCACATTGCCAATGAAGTTTTATAATAAATAAAGGAAAAGTCTTGCTTTATGTTTTGTTCATAACTAACATATGCATAACATACCAAGGGTAAGAAATGGATATGTGTATAGTCAAACTACTTTTTTAAAGTTCAGAAGCGGTGGATTGATCTTTCCTGCCTCTCACTACTGAGCTTTTTAGACATGTGGCTAATTCTGTGCATTCATACCTGAGTATAAAATGCAAAGTGAGAATCAGCTCTGAGGGGCATCTTGCAATCCTTCTTTGCAGAAAGATCTCTCTGTCTCTCATTTTCATCACTGATCAAAAAGTGTGCTTCCTGCACACTCATGCCCCCACCCTTCAAATTGGCATGAGGGAGGCACACAGGCCTAGTTTATGTAATTTATTTCTTCTCATACAAACAGCCTTGGCCTTCTGCAATATGCATTAATGTGGACGATCCTAATGTGTGACCTAAATACAGTCATACCTTGGTTCTTGAACAGAATGTGTTCCAGGAGTCTGTTTGACTTTCAAAATCCAAGGCACTGCTTCCGATTGGCTGCAGGAGCGTACTGCAGCCAATCGGAAGCTGCGCCGGATGTTCGGCTTTCGAAAATCGTTCGAAAACCAGAACACTCACTTGCAGGATTCGATCGGTCGGGGGCCGATTTGTTCGGGAGCCAAGGCGTTTGAGATCCAAGGTACGACTGTAATCCCCAGTACCTTCAAATATAATTCCTGTGGCTGTTTCAGCTGCTGAGATGGTGGATGGTGCTGCCAGTTATAGCTGTATAGGTGGATCACATATTAGCCTTGAATACACAAGCTTGGAGAGGAAGGTCCAGCATTGTTTGTACAGGGTAAGAAAATTGTTGTGAATCAGATGGCAGCTCCCCCCTTTTTTCTTTTAAATTGGGCCTATGAGAACACCCATTTTTCAAAAGCACATAAGCCACTTCTATTCATTATAATGCTGTTACCAAGCCTAGGCAGGAACTGCCTTTTCCAGTCTTCTTTGCACATGCTCCATTACCATTCTTAATTCATATTGCACTCTCACACTCCAATTGCCTTTTTTTTTTTTTTGCAAGTGTTATTCCAGCCAGCCAGAGAAACTGTGAGTCAGGCTCACGTGTTCAGGGACTGGGCAGCAATAGTGCTGGTCATTCTCTTGGACTGCAAATGCATTTCGTGGCCCCATCTTTTAAAGTAGATTTGCCAAGCTGGTGCCCTTCCGATATTTTAGGCTACAACTCCCATCAGACCCAGGCAGCTTGCTGTTGCTGATGCGAGTTGCAGTGCAGTCCAAAAGGCTGGAAGGGAACCAGGTTGATGAAGGCTGCTTTGAACCTAGCCTGGATATCGGAGGGCAAAGTTTCCTACAGCAAAGGGTTAGTGTATGATGACCTTTCCTAGTTTGGGTCTACAAGTACCATTTGAAGTAAAACAGAAATTCAGATTCATTTCGCTGAAGTCACTTAAACCAATGTCATACAGCTAGTATGTAAGAAGAGCCCCGCAGGATCAGACCACAGATCCAACTAGTTCAGCATTGTGCTCTCACTCTGGCCAACCAGATGTCTGTGGGAAGCTCGAAGGACCAGAACACAACAGCCCCATCCCATTGTTCTCCAGCAGAATTGTATTCAGATTTATGTGGCCTCTAATACTGAAGGTAAACATACAGCCGTCATGCTTAGTAGCTATTGGTAGCCTTATCCTTCATGAATTCATCTAACGCTCTTTCTAAGTCATCTAAGTAGGTGGCTATCACTGACTCCTGTGAGATTGAATCTCATAGCATAACTATGAGTTCTGTGATTTTCCGATTTTCAGCTTCACTGCATTTCCCTGAGTTCTAGTATTTTGAGAGCAAGAGAAGCTTCTCTGTTTCCACTTTCTCTGCACCATGTAAAATCTTCTATTATGTCCCGCTTTGCTTGCCTTTCTTTCTAAATTAAAATACCCTAATGTTGTAAACTTTCCTCTTAAGGGGAGTTGCTCTAGCAATCATTTTGGTTGCCCTCTTCTGCACCTTTTCCAGTCCTACATTAAGTCTTATTTGAGGTGTGCCGACCAAACAGCATTCCAAGTGCAGTCGCACTACATATTTGGATAAATGCTTTATCATATTGGCAGTTTTGTTTTCTGATTCATTTTCTAGGGCTCCCCAGAATGGAATCTACCTTTGCGGTATCAGCCACACACACTGGTTTGATATTTTTTCCGAGCAACCTCAAAATCCATTTCTTGTTGGTCACGGCCAGTTACCGCCTGCCATAGCAAAAAACGCCCCTCCTTTAGATACTAATCATCTGCATATGCTAATTCATCTAAATCTATATGCAAATTTAGATCCCCCCCATTGATTAGCATTAAGACGAATAGATGTTGGGAGGCAAGTGAAACAAAGTCTTACAAATAGTTCTTGATTCTTGTAACTACCCTGCCTTGATTGCAGGTTCTTCCAGATGGTTACTGTTTTGCCCTGCAATTACAGCGGTTTGGGGAGTCTTGAGCAAAGCCCACTTCCTCAAAAGATCGGACTTTTAGCAATAAGGAAAGTGATGGGGAAATGCACAGGAAAGTGTGGGGTGACACTTTCGACAGTCATCCCTCAAACAAATCAGGATCAACGCTCAATAAACAGCTCATCTGGAAGCACCCTGCTACTGAGCTGGACCACAGAAATGTAAAATCCAACAGTCTAGTTTGCCTGGGCAATAAGTTGGGGGAAGAGGAAAGGACAGCAGCTTCCTTCCACACAGTACTCTCATAAGAATTTGGAACTGCCAAGCATAGATAGAGAAACACCTCCAACAAAGCTCTTGGAATAAGGCGTTGGCTTTCCCAGGAAATGTTAAGACAAGTTAACACCTGCCACTGGGGCACTAAGGTCCAGCGCCATTCATCTTCAATCTACACTCCATTCCCAGCCAGGCCCTCATTCACCCCGATAACGTGCAGTCAAGGCTGAAGTGTATTCTTGGGTTTCATAATTGTTTCCTTCTTCACCTGGCTGAGCGTTCAGTCGTATCCTGTAGATTTAACAGGAGGATGCTGACGGCTTAAAGGACTAGCGCTCAGAGAGGCCCTTTCCACATATAATCCAGCTGCTCGGGACCTTTCTTTCAGTGGCAGACTGCCCCCCTTGCACTGCACGTATTCCAGTTTTGCATGAGGGCAATGGTGCAGAAGAGAAAGCCGGAGAAGACATGGAGTTCTGCTTGGAACAGAACACACAATGAATTAGGGGGCCTCAGATTTCATTCCGTGCGGACTAATCTGTCGGGAATTCAGGCACAATGATAACGAAAGGTACAGGGAAGTAAGTGGCAGGGCTGCTGAAAGATCCTGTAAGTTGTCCTAACCTCCACTCACAAGACACACTCCCAGGACAGCAGGCGATCGTTCACCTGTAATTCCAGCATATTCCACTTTCCCAAGTAATACGTACAAATAGAGTTGGCTCTTGCCCGGCCGACAGAGATCTACTGCTTCAGCTGCCATCGGCTGTGATTCCAGAGAAGAACAGGGTGGAGAGACAAGGTGCCAGAGAAGCCTGCAGAGCCCACACACCTTCAGTTAGGCCCTGGCCCCTTAGTGGCCTTTTAAGCACAAAAACCAGAGAATTCACCTTGCTAACAACAACACTTCGAAGAATATCCTCTGGACAGATTAACCAAGAGTCCATCCAGAGCTCATAGCAAAACCCTAGAATTGGGGAGGGGGGTGGAACAGGAAAATAAATGCAAAGGCCCGCTCCCACCAGCCAATGAGGAAGTAGCAAAACCCCTTGCTTGCCAACACCCACCTCCAAACAGCCAGCAAAACTCTGGGAACTAGCAACAACACGTAAACGAGGCAACCAGGACTCGCCCAAAGCAGGGACCTACCCAGAAATACATCATCATGCTGGCAGCCGGGATGTCCACAGAGCCACAGAGAGGTGGTCCGGCCCAGGCCGCTGGGTGTCTCCCCGGACCCCTGGCTCTCTCCGTCCTGGGATGCTGACTGGGGTTCCCTCCTTTCACAGGCGTGGTCCCGTTGACACCAGATGCAGGCCACCGCGTGCCTCCTCGGAGATTGCCATGGGCAAATGACGTGCCAACTTGGTGAAGGAATCGCAGGTGGGGGTTTGGTGGCTTCCAGGAGGGCGGCAGCTGAGACGAGGGAGCAAGACCCTGACAACAGGAGGTTGGGTTTTCTGTGGGGTTAACCACGAAAACACCAGCCCCTTGGAGGGAAAAGGGAGGGAAGCAAGCCAGACCTGTTCTTCCCACAGAGCTCCTGGAGCAGGGCGGGCAGGCTGGCAGCACAGGGTTTGCTGGCCGGATGTGTGGCTCCAGTGAGAGAAGAGGCGCCTCAGCTCATGGACAAGCGGGCTCACTTGACAGGTTGCCGTGGATGGGATGGGTGGGGGTGGAGGCTCTGTGCCGTGGGGATGCGTGTTATGTATGTGCGTGTTTGTGTGTGTGTGTGTGTGTGTGAGAGAGAGAGAGAGAGAGAGAGAGAGAAAGAGAAAGAGAGAGGCAGCTGGGAGCGGAGGCTCCCGCCGCTCTGACACTCTGCAGTGTATGTCCTGCCTCAGCATTTTCCAAGCTACCCTGTCAATAAGGAAACTGGCCGCTCATGTAATTAACCTGTGAGGTGCCAGCTTCCTCCCTGCTGGTGCCGAGCCTCCAGGCATTCTTGCTGCTCTCTGGCCCTTGGCTTGTTACCATAAGCAGGTCTTGCCGTGATTAAGGAGGACAAGGGCAGCTGGTGACACAGACAGCCCCTGTTTTAAAGGGCAGCGAGCCTCCAGGCTGACAAGAGATTCAGTTCTCCCAACTCCAAGGTTATAGAAAATATGGGCCTCGAGGCCTAACTAAAATCAGACACTCGTTGTGTCAACTGTGGGGGGAAGTCTGTGTCCCAAAAAGCTTGCTAGCTAAGCTGATTTCCGAAAGGACCTGATCTTGTATCTTCTTGCTAATTTTGTTGGTGCCATGCTCACAGCTGCAGGGAGGTCTTGCGAGGCTTCCCACCCAAACAGGGTGTTTGTTTTATCGCTGATGGTGAGAGCACATCTCTCTACTAGGCTGAGGTTTCTGATTATGGCTATGAGGCGGGAAATGGGGCTTACCTGGGTATCAAAGGCTGCGGAGTGCTGGCTAACTTTCCTGTGTTCTGTCCTTTGCCCATATTGTTCAATCCACGCTAAGCTCTTGGACTGTGCAAGGGCTTCAGACTCAGGGGCAGTTGAATGCCAGAAGGATCCAAGAAAGGTTAGTGGGAGCTGTACATCAGCACCCAAATGGCCTCTTGTGTGCCACGGCGCCCTCTACTGTTAGCAACCTCATGCCCAAGACATTCCTCCAAATCAGAACATGGAGGCTGCACTCTCGGCAGTGCAGCGACAGGGAAGAGACAGGGAAGCCTAGTTTCCAGCTTCTCCTGATGGCCCAAGAGCAGGGCTAGATGCTACAAAATGCACCACCTCCCTTTCCACCCTTCATTGTGACACCACACCATGAGTTTACCCGCCTTCTCATTGCTGGTTGCTAGTGACCACAAAATGCATTGCATAAGGACACTGCAACATGCATTATGCTATATGGCAGGCATAGGCAAACTCAGTCCTCCAGATGTTTTGGGACTACAATTCCCATCATCCCTGACCACTGGTCCTGTTAGGTAGGGATCATGGGAGTTGTAGGCCAAAAACATCTGGAGGGCCGAGTTTGCCTATGCCTGCTATATGAGATGCTAACAGGAAGAAAGGAGACACAGAAATGGAGCAGCATCAACTTCATCTGTGCAACATTTAGCTCCATCTGCCCTGACGGTGAGCTAGTTGAGCACTGGGGGCTTGCATGATTCCATTGTCCCTAGAACGCCAAGCTAATATATTTGGACACCAGGCCACATTATTCCTCTATCCACAAAGGAGGGGAAAATTAAACAGGGCAGGATACGTGCCCTAGAAACGGTACAAAATGCCTTAAGTGACAGGAATGAAGCCCCACCTGATTTTCCCAATAGCATACACAATGTGAACTGACTCAAGTGGACTGAATTTCTGCTGCTCCTGCCAAGCCCAGAAGGAGTGAAGGACCCCCCAACCTGCCTCTTATATATACATGTGAAGAGGACTTGAACTGTGTGCTTCAGAGAGGAGGGTGAGACTCTAAAAAAGGACAGGGGCTTCTATCCCTTTAAGATTTCACATATCCCATTGGCACAGCTTCCCCCCGCCCAACATAGCATGATGGCGATGGGGGACTTGCACCTGTTAAACCCCACTTCCCCCTTCAAATCTCTCCAAGGGGGAGAGGGCCTGGTCCTTTGGGGAATACAATCATCAAGCCAAGTGCTCTGCTGCGTAGCCTTTGATTTGCTTCTCCGTTAATTCATACAATGATTTGATTGGTCTATGGCACAGCTGCTGTTTTACATTATTGGATTATACCCCAGTGTGCAATTCTCCAGAGTTCAGCACAGTGAATAGCTATTCTTGCCCTTCCTAAATTACGGATCAGGGGCTGACATTAACCCCTCCATCAGCTACAATGTCAGAAGGATGCTGGTGTTCTGCATGGAAGGCAGGGAAGTTACTGACAGCTGGGTGCTTACAAGCCAAGACCTTGACTGCTCAGTGATGACTGTCCCAGTGGGACCAAAGCCTGAGACTCTGTGGCACTCTGTGTGTCTCTTGCCCCCATTCTCCATCCTTGGGCACAGGCTTCTCAGGCTGTGTACTTTTGGGGGCATGAATAACTCCAGCAAGAACGTGGCACAGTGATAAATGACTTTGTCCAACATGAACACACACAATCCATCTGCAATTAACACACTAGGAAACTGCACACACCTGTTTGGCACCAGGCTGGACTGTCATCTTGGTTAACGACCCTGGATGGTGCCAATCAAAAGATCAGACGAGAAGCTCACGCTAAACTAGCAAATGAATCGAATTTTGCTACAGACCTAGAGCAAGATCCTCAGCTTCTCCAGGGTACTTTGCCCCAGAGCTAACCTCCCACAGGGCTCTGCTGTTCATGTTTGTGCAGTCATAGTTGGGGTGGTTATGTGACTGTAAGAAGGAACTCTGGTACAGGCTTTTTTGCAACTGGAACCCACTAGAATTCAGTTCTGGCACCTCTAGGAGAACAAGGCTTGGGTGCGCTGCAGGCTCCGTGGTAAGTGCGCACCTTGTAAACATTTGCCAATGTCTTGGAGCTGGGGTGAGGAAATTCAGAGTGCAAGAATACTGCGTCTGAGGTCTTACATGACTGGGAGAAGGAGAAGGACTTACACAACTGCCTTGTGTAACTGTGTGGCATCAGAGTATGGATTGGGAACTGGGGAGTAGTGGTGCCATTCAGATTTTGAACTACTGTACTCATCATTTCGGAACATTGGCTGGGGCTGATGGGAGCTGAGAGTGCCAAGAGGGCACCAGGCTGGCAATGCTTGCTCTAGTAGAAATCTTGCCTCTGCCATGAATACATTAGGTGACCTTGGACAAGCTGTTATTCTCAACCTCTCCCAAGAGCTTATATAGTAGTAGTAATAAGAACAATCCTAGCCTACCCTATGGGGTGGTTGTAGAATTACTGAAATAATTAAATAGAAGTAATATAATAATCATCATCACCATCATCCTAATTCTCAACTATCCACTTTAAAACAAAGCAAAAGTGAAGCCACACATCTCATCTCTACCACTCTGGTAGATCTTGGGGATGACTATCACTGTGATGAAGTGGTGGGCAGCCTATGATCCTGAGCTGCTGTTTGTTTGTTTGTGAGATTTATACATTGCTTTTTCAAGAAATCCACCACAAAGCGGCTACAACATTTAAGAATACAAATCCATTTCACAAAACATTTCAAAACACATACTGTGGAATTCAAATTGGAGCTTAGGAGATGGTTCTGTCGGCGCAAGCATGTCTGCTTGACAGATAGAACCATCTCCCCTCTCCTTCCTCGGGGGGGGGTGTCTCCTGACCCCCACCAAGTTGTTTTGGGGAATGTGGGAGGCATGTGGGAGTGAGGAGAAGAGAGGGGAAAGCCCTATGGTGCTAATGCGACTCATCCGTCATTTATCTTAAAGTACCAGTAAAAATATTGAGTGACTTTAATCCCTCCTCATTTTCCAAAGACTGATCTGGCATTGTAGCTACGTACATTTGTAAGCTATGAGCCAGGAAGCCCATGAGTCAAACCCCACCTCAGTCGCGAACTCACTTAGGTGACTTCAGACAGCCATTCCTCAGCCCTCATTTGTGATACAAGTATACCTAACAACACAGGTCTACCTTACATCAATTATTATTAATAGGTGCTTCCAGACTGTCACTAATTTGGGTGGGATTCAACCACACACCAGCAAATTCAGTTTGCACATTTATAGTTAAGTAGGAACTCTCGTGCAACAAACTCGCCTCCCAAAAAACTCTGACTTTTTGCAGTAAGGAAAGTGATGGGAAAGTGCACTGGAAAATGTGGGGTGACACTTGCTTTTAAGCAGCCTCATCTAACCTCACTGCAAACCAACTCAAGTAAATGCTCAAAAAATAGCCGACGTTTTCTAATCTCCCTACAAATAAGCAAAGCAGGATGAATGCTCAATGAACAAGTCATCTGGAAGCAATGATGACGACGAAGACAACGATGATCAATTATCATCATTAATTTACTACCACCACAACATTACCAAGTGTTAGCTTCACTTCCAGGCTCTGGGATACTAGCACTGTAGATAAGATTTAGCGGATTCAGCAGATGGCACCTGACCAAACGCTCTTCTCTTTTGAGATTAAATATGAACCTACGTGGACCTTTCTCCTGTGTGCATCTGCTAGAGAACAATGATGTTGTCATCTTATGCCTTTCCTAAGTGAATTATGCCTGAGCAAACCAAAGTGGTCCCTAGACTCACACTTGGGTGAAGAGGGGGCCTCCCCTCGACAGCCTCTCCTTCTCCCCCCACCCCCAGGCTTCTGTGTCAAGGAAAGGAAGTTCTTGTGTTACCTTTGGAATCAGCCAAGCTTCCCCCGTGGTGCTCAGTCACTTTGGGCTCTCTAAGAAAGGGAAGAGAAGGAAGAATTGAAATCAATTATTGTTATGGCTAACACACCCACGGTCGATGCCATTTGCTTGCTGACTGGCAACATTCTTTCCGAACATGCGTTATTATCTTCCTAGGAGATTCCGGAAACCTGCCCAGGCTTCAGAAACAGAGCGGCAATATGATCCATGCTCCTGTTTGTACAAGTCAACCAAGGAGCCAGCTGCTGGTCAGAGGGCACTGAATGAAGCCTGCCGTGTTCTGGTTTAAACCTTTATTATAAATGCATGATCCTACATTTTTTTCCTGAATGAGCTCAGAGCAGCCATTTAATTTCACAACCACACTGCTGCAAAGCTAAGCTGTGGTAGGTCGTTTACTTACCCAGAAGATGCAATGTTTTGTTTTGTTCTTTTACGCTAAAGCAGTCTCCAGCTGTTTTTGGACTACAACTCCCATCATCTAGCTAGCAGAACCAGTAGTCAGGGATGATGGGAACTGTAGTACCAAAAAAACAACAACACAGCTGGAGTCCCAAGTTTGGGAAACACTGTGTTAAAGGCTCAAGTTTCCCATATGCTAATATCCTCATGACCATAAGCACTCCCAAGCCATCTTGAGGCCATGCCTGTGCATTGCTGCTTCTGATGACCCCAATTCCCTCTCTTCAACAACTCAGGCTATTGCATGCCATACGTAAATGCTGATTCTCGTCAAAAGGCTATTTTCTAGTTGAAATCAGTCATTACAGTTGTTTGGGTGGGATGCAAGGCCGGAGGCAATAAGGGAACTTCAGATCTACAGGAAGGCATAGAAGTTAAGCATCTTGACTGAGGAATGCTAACAAAGTGCTCTGTGCATCTCAGGCAGGGCCGGCCCAAGACATTTTGGCTCCTGAGGTGAACCACAAAATGGCGTTCCCCTGCCTTCCAGGGAAGAAAGGGTGAGTGAAGATCTACATTAGGAACAAGGGGGGGGGGGATGAAGAGCTACATCGGGATCTGCTGCCCCTGTGTTTCCTGCTGCCTGAGGCAATTGCCTCAACTTGCCTCATGGGTGGGCCAGTCCTGCCCTCTAGTTTTCTGCTTCTTGCAATCCATGCAACTCTGTGAACACCTCTGTGCCGAAGGGAGATACAAGTACAAATTAAGCAAATGGATTAGTTTTAGGAAGAGATGTGCTCCCAGCCGAAGCACAAACATATGAACAGGCTTTTCTGGAGCAACAAATCCTTTGCATCTGCTACTGATCTCTGGAGTTTTGCTTCCTCAGAGCCACAGTTGCTTTGGGAGAAGGTCCTCTTTGAAAATTGTTGCTGAGGATAAGTTCTGACTCTCGCCCACTCCTTGCACTCATAGCCAATGCCACCTTTTAAGGATTCCTGGGTGCTCTGACTATGTGACATACGGTATGGAGATCAATTATGGAAATTCCTGCCTCTGTGAACCCAATTCAGGGAGAATCACAGCTCATTAGGCCGGGGCTCGCTTCCATTAATGCCATGATAATATCTGCCCCCATCACTGTGGCTTCCCTGGAAATGGCCCAGAAAGCTCTCCTCTGCAACTCAGCCTGGCAGTAACATGGCCACTACAAAGAAACTCTGTGCTGCCCTCATTCTGCAAAAAACCCACTTGCTAAATGAAGACCCTGGGCCCCCTGTGGCTGAGATGCAGGTCTCAGATCTATCCCATGGGTGTGTGTGCTGAGATCACAGTCATCTCCCTGCGCTCCCATAAGGGAATCCTGGCAGTGGAGTGTTTAGGGACCCAGACATATTGACAAGACCCTAGGGAAATAAATAATAGAAGGGGGTGAGATGGCAGTGCCAAGAACAATTTATTACCAAATCCTCACGTCTACCAAGGCAGGCACCTTTGCACACTCAATGGCCAGCCATCCTTCAAAAATCTTACCAGCCAGGTTAGCTCGTGTGAGGGGTAGAGTGCGACTAAGTACTACATCATCATGTGAGCAGGCAGAATTTTGTGCAGAACAGAGTTCCAGTTCACTCTTGCACGATCAAGTAAGGCAGGGATTAAGAGAGTAGAAAACAACAACCCAAAATCAACAACAACTACAGTATCTGCAACATCCATGACAGCGGAATCAACACAGAAAAAGGAAATTTGCTGGGCAAACATTTACAGGCAGCTAATGCAATACAGTTCAGTATCACACACATTGCTGCTTATAATCAGAGCAAGAAATTCAACATCTTCCTCCTGCCACAGGACAGCAATCAGTGATGAATGGTGTCAGCTACTGACGGGGTCTCCACCTAAGGTCCTGAGCACTCCCTCCCTTGTGATTCCTGGCTAATTCTTTCCTTTGAGATTAGCCAGTGCTTTTACTTGGGTTGGGAGAAGGGGCAGTTTGGAGATGGAAAAGACCACCCAGTTAAAGAGGATCACGGTGAGAAGACTGCTGGTTATTGGTGCTTCTTGAGCATGCAAAGTTGTAGATAGGATACACACAACAAACTTCATGCAAGATAGGAGGTGAGAGAAGCACCTGAAGACCAGTCTTATTTAGCACAAGTTTTTATAACAACAACAACAATAACAAAGTGATTTCCTCCTTATCCCTTAGTATATCCTCTCTCTTCCAGATTCTTTGTTACTTCTAATATTTTATTCTTGTTGCTATATATTTTGGAAAGTTGTTAGCTATGAATTTGGGCGCTTCTTAAAATTTTGCAAAGTTTGCATGATGGTTCCTGAGATCAAGGAGGTTTTTGTCTATGTTTGGGTGCCGTTTTGAATCCAGATGAACCTTTCTAAATGGTGCTGATTTTAACCACTGATTTCAAAACTGCACTGATTTTTTTATTTTTGTTGTTGTTGTTGTTCCTTAGAATTCCCAAGCAACACCAGGTTATCAGTCTGCTTGTCTCTTTTAAATCAAAACATTTCCAGGGAAGACATAGGTACATTTTATAACTTTCCCAAGTGGCAAAATCCATGTAGAAGATTTGTCCATGGTCACAGGGGACAATCCATGGCAGGGCTTAGTACCAAATTCAAGCCTCTAGATCAGAGGTAGGCAACCTAAGGCCAGTGGGCCGGATTGCCTTCCCAATCCGGCCTGTGGATGGTCTGGGAAATCAGCGTGTTTTTACATGAGTAGAATGTGTGCTTTTATTTAAAATGCATCTCTGGGTTATTTGTGGGGCATAGGAATTCGCCCCCCCCCCAATATAGCCTGGCCCACCACATGGTCTGAGGGACGGTGGACCGGCCCCCGGCTGAAAAGGGTTGCTGATCTAGATCTAGAAGTGGGGAACAGGTTAGCCACCCCTGCTCCAGATTTAAAAATTCCTATACACTGGACCATCCCTACCTGCAAAGGCATTTCCCTAGGCTGGATTTGTTCCACCAGTGCGCCAATGGAGCCCTGACCTCCCTGCCACTCCTCCCCGCCCCATCCTGTCCAGGTAAATTGAAGCAACTCAATGGTTCCACACTGGCTGCTACTGTGCCTAGCAGGGGGCAACATTAGAGCTTTATTTATTTCAGTAATTTCTACTTTGCCTGTCCACTCCAACTGTGCACTCAGACACTTAGAACACTCCACAAAACAACAAATATTTTAAAAACACAGCACATATATATCTCTATATAAATATGTACCACCATCACCACATGGGCAGCAGCTTTGAGTGAACCAAAGACCCTCCAAGTAAACTAGGTCCACTTCCCCATTCCCCTCCCTCTCTATTAGGCTTTTCAAGTACTCCTGTTATGTCCCACATCCTGTCTCCTCCTCCTTTGCGACTCCAAAATTAATGTTGCTGTTTAATTAAATTCATTAGCTCAGATTATCTGGCTATATAACCTGCCCCCTACCTCTTCCCTATTTTCTGTCCCTCTCCATGCACAAGCAACAGTGGAGAGTTTCTTTATGGGCCATTAAAAGCGTAATGTTTAATTTATCGGCGCATTCTCAGGTGGGTGGGTTGGCTGGTCCCAATGTCAACACTTTTAATTAAATGAGAAGAGCTTTTGCACAGGGAAAGGGGGCCATGTTTCCAGCAGCTAATCAGAGAACCGCTGGGGTGAGGGCTCTGCACAGGCAACATAGGCAAACATTGCTCTTCATGCTAGTTGTGCATGACACGTAGGGAGGAGAAAATCCAGTGGATTAAAGCCAGCAGGAGAGGCCCTACTTGCACTACCTTACCCTAGTGAAGGGGTGGTGAGGAAGAAGGAATGGCCTCCACTCCGAGGTGCTTCTTGGACCTACATTATATCCTTTCCATCGGCAGGTCAGGAGGCACCTCTTTCTCCAGGCCTTGAAGGCACAATTACCGTATTTTTTGCTCTATAAGACTCACTTTTTCCCTCCTAAAAAGTAAGGGGAAATGTGTGTGTGTGTTATGGGGCGAATGCAGGCTGCACAGCTATCACAGAAGCCAGAACAGCAAGAGGGATTGCTGCTTTCACTGCGCAGCGATCCCTCTTGCTGTTCTGGCTTTTGAGATTCAGAATATATTTTTTTTCTTGTTTTCCTCCTCCAAAAACTAGGTGCGTCTTGTGGTCTGGTGCGTCTTATAGAGCGAAAAACACGGTAAGTAGTCTGAACTGAAAGGGGTCAACTCCTTCCACGGAATGGTGTTCAATGTTTCGGTATGAATTATGTGAATTTTAGAATGCCCCCTCCCACATATATATCTTGCCCAGGGACCATGTGGTCATAAATGTAGTAATAATTAGTACACTAGCCTGGCTTGTCCTGGCTGGGTACTTTGGCCAGCAGCCACCTTGCGATGGAGGGTGAGGAATCTGTGGGGAAGATGTAAGGCCTTTTTTCCAGCCTCTCTACTGAGATTCATAGCTTATTTGTTCAGAGAGGATGCAAAACCTTTCCCTTCTGAAAGGCTTGCGGACACTGGCAGAGTGGTGCGGGCACTGCGTTCTTGCATTGCTTCTGTTGTTGATTGTATGGTGTGTTTTAACTTTTTCTTGCTTATTTTCTGTAGGAAGCTGCCTTGAGCTTTGGAGATTTGAGGTA